TTTTTTACATATATCTAGATCACAGTTTACATGGGGCCAAGGAAGCATCACCTGTATTAGTGAATGTTTCTATTTAGCCCCAGTGGTAGGACTAACATATTAAATACCTTTTTTTTTTATATATGAATTAGATTCTTGAACAAGATATATAAACATTTATTTCATCCCAACTGTCTTTCTGCATTTTGCCTGACATCTAGTAGAGTTAAATCAAGGCAAATGCCATTCCTCCACACCCAGTAATACATTAGACTACATGACTACATGTACCAGGATTACAGCAGTCTTGAGAGTTTAAATGCATTGAATTAAGCTACAACTCCCAAACTGGTTGAAAATCTATACAAATAGTCAATACCTAACGTCTTTAGTTTTCTTTCTTCAGTTCTAAAATAAGGTTAACAATATTCATGGAGTCTAGGAAAAAAATATAAATGTGGGAACACAATCTCTTTACAATTAGAGCCTCAAATGAGGGAGAAAGAGGTATTACTGTTGATAAATACTTTAAGAAAATATCTCTTTAAAGTCATGTATTATTACAAAAATATTATTTAATGCAAAATTAACATCAAATGATTTATCTTAGTTTTGTTTTACCATATGATATTCACAAACTGGTTTCAGGATGGTGAAATATAAAAATAATAGCTTTCTCATAGCTAGGCATTATTAAAAGTAAACAGCTATATTATGTGAAAAATTTGATTTCTTAGTTGACCTTTAATTCTATGACTGGTTGCTGTTACTATTGCTCTCTTCTAATATAGATCAATACAAAAGAGATTGCATTACTTTAAGGGGAAGGAACCACTGTAATCTTAAATAATAACAGCAAAATTGAATATAAAAAATTACATTTGTGTAATTTACTCAGTTAATATGTAAAAATATCCACCTTGCTTATCATATCCCATGAACAGAGATTATATTCTACTCTTTGTGGTTTGTTTTCCTAGTTGTATTCTAATTTAAAAAAATTAGTTAAGCTTACTTTTTAAATTTAAAACCAAAAATTCATCCATTAGTTTTCTCCATATTGTCTACATGAAGATGGGATGAGACATTAAAATAGCTATGATAAACGTTCTCCAAAGAAAAAAGAAAAAAAATACATGCACACCCATAAATTATCAATTTACTATTTCTGTCAAATAAATATATAAATAACTGATTATTTGGAGTATAAATACACTTTAACAAGACACTTAATGAAGCCTCTGTCTCCCGAGCTACATTTAGAAACATTTCGTCATATTTATAATATTTATACAGCCTCCTTGAACTTTTAATTACTTGATTTATTTATTCTCCTTGGTCATGGAACAAGAAGACCTACATATTATCCTGCTGCATTCTCATTTTCCTAATAATTCATTGAGCTAATATCACTTGTAATAGTGTTACAATAAAGTAAAAAGATATGCAAACACCTTAATGATAATTTTAGAAACACAAGACCACTATTAATTATGTGCAAAATACTGTATCCTACATCTGTTTCCTCCTCATTCTATGCTGTCACCTATTTTCTTACCTCTACATATTCTGTTCACAAAATTTGCTTCCCTGTCTCTGTTGATACTCTTGGCACAACTTGACTGTCAATGTGAGGAAAATGAAGCTGTTTAGGAAGTTCAACTTCTTAAAACAATTGTAGCCAACATGGCTTTTTTTTGCTGAATCACACTGAAGTTTTGCTATATAGCTCAAATTGTTTTTAGCCTATATGAACATGAAGGATATCCAACTGTGTGAAATCTGGAAAACATTGGAATATACTGGGACCTGTCACTCAATATTTCTAAACGAACTGAATCTATCCAGGTGCACCTACTTGTAATAGTTTTAAATTACATTGAAATTTTTCCCACAGTATATTTGTAAATGCATATGTTAATAAATTTAATTACCTTTCACTTAAGTTTCCTGTTCTGGGCCAATATTTCTTTCTTTCTTTATTTTTTTGAGAATAATAATGGCAGTTAAAATGAAAAGAGGTAGAAAAACGTCTAAATTGATTAAAAAAAAGAGGCCATTTTCTTTTTCTTGAATAGTATGTCATTGTTTAATAAGCAGGGCTGTCCTTTCAGCTGAAAAGAAGATACCTTTTAACTCTTTGAAAAACAATAATCAGAGAATAATATTAACTTAAATTTTTTAAATATGGAATTTAAATAATCTAGTTACAAAATAAATAAGTCAATTTAAATGTAAGAATGTTTTCCAATATTCTGTAACTATGCCCCCAAAATCATTATATATTTATGTCAACCAATATACTTCTGTATACATATATATAGCAATGACAATAAAAATTTCAACAATATCCAATATTGTCGAAATTTTTATATTAATCTTTTATGTTTATTCAACCTTTGTTTATGTGCTATAATCTATTATAACTTCATTGTTTTCTCTATGCACTCTATTCACATGCAAAAAAACAAAATTATGCCTTTATCTTAAAATCGTATTTCAAAATCAACTAAAAATACATTAAGACTTAACAAACAAGACCTAAAATTGTAAAAATAGTAGAGGAAGCATAGGAGAATTATAACAGTGGACTGAGCAATGATATCTTGTATTTGTCCATGAAAACCCAAGCAACAAAAGGAAAAAATAGACAAAAGGGGTTATATCATACTAAAAGGCTTCTACAAAGCAGAGGAAACAATTACCAGAATATAAAGGTAGTCTATACATTGGGAGAAAGTATCTGAAACTCTTTAACCTGGTAAGGTATTAACATCCAAAATATATGAGAAATTCAATTCAATAGAAAGAAAACAACCAAATTTAAAAATGACCAAAGGATCTGTACAGTCAATGGAGTGAAGGGACAACCATAAAATGGGTGAAAATACTTGCAAACTATACATTTGGAAAAGTATTAATATCCAGAATAGGTAAGAAACATGAAAAACTCAAAACAACAACAACAAAGTAAAAATCAAACCAATTTTAAAATGGGAAACAGACCTATGTAAATATTTCACAAAGAAGAAATATAAGTGACCAATGGATACAAAAAAAAGATGCTTGATATTACTAGTCATCAGAAAAATGAAATTCAGTGAGGACTGGAGGTATAGATCAGTGGAGATCAGTGGTGAAGAATTACAACAAACAACAACAAAAAAACATGAGATATCACCTTACTTCAGTGAGAACATCTATCATCAAAATGTCTAAAGATAACAAGTGTTTGTAAGGATGTGAAGAAAACAGAACTCTCTACATTTTGGTGGGAATATAAATTAGCACAACCATTTGAAAAACATAAGTAAAACTAAAGATAACTAACATAAAATAAAATAATAATAATGAAATAATGGATAAAGAGAAAGGAGAATTTATTGAAGATATTCAAGATTCATTTAATATTCAGAAGTCCATATAATTCATTGTATCAGCAGGCAAAAAGGCAAAATCATATGATTTTATCAATTGACACTAAAAGTATTTATAATAATATCACTAATAAGAAAAATAAAATCTCATTAACTATGTATTGAAGAGAATTTCTTTAAACTCAGAAAAATTATCTACAAATCCCTTCAATTAACTAATGTCATACTCAATGGTAAAAAAATTATTTCTCCCTAGGAAATTAGTGATGAAGATATGCTTTTTATTGTCACAACTCACAGTTAACATATAAGTATATATTATAAAAAGGACAGTAAAAATAAAAGTGATTTGTTGGAAACAATAAATGAAACTATCTGAGTTTGAAGATGACATGATTTTCAACATGGAAATTTCAAGAAATTTACCAAAAACATCAGTACTAAAAGTAAATTCAATTATGTTACTAAATACAACAAAAAAATCAATTGCATATAGATGTATTAACAATGAACAAATGGAAACCAAAACAGAAAGTACAGCATCATTTACAATTGCTCTAAAGAAAATGAATAGAAAACAAAATTTCACAATGTATAGAGTATCTCATAAAAACTACAACATTCTGAATTAGAAAACCAAAGAAGATCCAAATAAATGGCTAGATATGTTTTCTTCATAAATTGGAAGATTCATTAATAGTAGAAATATGAGCTCTTCCAAAATAGATGTACATATTTAATATTGTTATATAAAAATTACAGGAAAATATTTTATAAACATAAATAAGCTCATTCTTAAGTATGTATGAAAAGGCAAGAGTCTAAATAGACACAGCAATAATCAAATCAGTGGAGTATTGGTCAAGAGAATACTATATAGATTACTGGAACCAGTACAAGTATATCCAATTAACTTTTTGACAAAGATGCAAAAACAACTGACTGGATGGTTAATAAATTTTTTAAAAATATTTTATTAGAGTAATTAGAAATTCA